CCTTCCTGCTTGCAGCTTACTGTCGTTCTTTTAACCTATTCACACTCGGATACCATTCTCCTCCATACCCTTGAAAAAATTGCTGAAAATTTTGTTACATTCAACTTGCAGAACATGTGAACCGTAGCTTGCTTTGGACGACCGGTGAAAGGTCAAAACAAAACTTTCAATACGCCTTCTCCAAATGCCCAGACGATTCAAGGCTGAGGATGGGTCGCAAGATGAATAGGTTTTGAAGCGCAATAATACCCATGTCTTTTAGTTCAGTTAGGCCCGATTGAGGTTAAGTTAAGGTTAAGTTAGATCTAATTAAACAACAAAAATCAATCTGGAATAAAACTAACGGTTTTTATCTGATGATTCTGGAGACCTAGGTGTTTGAAAAGTTCACATTCCTGATGACCACTGCCGACGTATGCCCTGACGTTTCCCCAAGCAGTCCTAAATGTCTGCATGTCTAGGTACTATGCAATGGACACGGTTATTCGTCCAGCAATGTACCTTCTATGTTTGAAGGAGGCCGAAAATGCTATTTTCACTGCTTCACCTGGGCTTCGCTTACATAACGGAAGTGGTGCCTAATTGTAAGAGATTCCTCGTATCTGCGGCACGGTCAATCCAAAAAGATTCAGTCGTTAGGCTGACTTTGAAATCCCCTTAAAATTTAAAACATTTTCTACATTCCACTCCTTGGGTTTTCTTCCTTCTTTTGCCGCGCAAGAAGCCCTTTAAGGTCCAAATTGCTTTTGTTGTTAAGTGCATAACCATGGCTTAATTTCCACTGAAAATATCGCATCTCCAACGTCACTTAATTGTTATATTTGAACACATCTGTTCACATTAGCCCCCGTAGGGAGAAACACAATGTGCGGAGGTGTCATTACAGCAATGGGTTGACCAGCAGCACCCAAAGTCCATAGAAAAAGTCCATCACTCACCTTATCTGATGAGAGTGAACCGGTATCAGTTACCAGGTTTACTGCAAATTGAGTTGCAGTCTAATCATGTTATAGTATGAATGTCTATTATTGGCAAGAACATTTTATCGTGTTGCGGTTGTCCATTCGACTTTTTCCGTATTCATCATGTTATTATGTTTTGAAGCCCATTGCAGAGGTCCCAAATGCCTATAAGATGAGACTCAAGGCAAAGTTTTCCACAACCTCATAGTACTAAAACAGAAATTTATAATTTCAAATAGATCAAATTCTTTCCTTGATCAGTTAGTAGATTTTGACTAACATTTGATTCTCTATATGTAGCCTCAATTACATTCAAAACGAAGTCTTTTTTCGCCTATGGATGATTGTACGGGATGTTTTATTATCACAAATAAAAAATCACTGTTTCCTTCAATTATTAGTCCACCTTTTCGGCGAAGTTCCGTTGGACTGTCGTGTGTCCCGTATTGTTTTACATTATCCGTCATCTGTTTCAGACTCATGTAGAGTTGGTTTAGGAGAACACGAGTGGCTTGCCGAGTGAACTGTTATTTACTGTTGAACAATGAACAATAGTCACTCATGAACACCGCACTGTGCAGTTCTGATGTTAAGTCAGATGCCGACAGCTTAAACAGCATTTTGTTTCCATGCGTTAATCGGTGTTGGTTAATCATTTACACGAATAAATGATTACCAAATTCAAACATTTCCCATTTGAACAGCTGTCTGTTTCTTGAATGTCATTGGTTGAAATTTATAGCTCAGTTCTATCTCAAAAATTCTATTTTATTTTTTAGCCAATTTGAAAGAGCAATTCTTCGATGGTTAAAGCCAATGAAGCGAGTATTTCATCATGTGCAAAGGAAAAATTGGGTGCTGATCGAGCTCAGATGACCAATGTGTGATCTTCAGAACAAGCATACAACGATGGATCTGTTTAGAAAAAGTACAGCACAGCCCAAGAAGCTGTGTGATGGTCAAGTGGGTAATATGTTTGCGTTATACCCGTGTGGTTACGGGTTCGAACCCCAGTTTGGTCGATAGTTTCGAGCACTGCGGATGAAACCCAATCAGACCAAAGCACCTTTCCAATGTTTCGACTGCTTCATTCCATGCTTTTAATTTTCCCTGTACTCGACGAAATACACCATATAATTAGTGTCAATTGGTCAATTGAATGTCGGTTTTGCGGTTGCGCGATGTGATACATTTCTGATTGCAGCATCAAACCGCTGCTGATAATCAGCTTTAAAACAACTTTTAAAGACTTTCAGAATGCAACAGTGCAAATAGGAAGGCACAGTTGCCATCACGTTTTAGTCCCAGATCACCATGACCAAATTTCATGTGTTTTTAGACCACACTGGTCAGTCCACAATACGCTTTCGGGAATCGCGAGTAATACAACCCATTTGGAGAGTTAACTTCACTATTGGCAGAATAGTAATCCGATTTCCGGTTGTTCCTGATTGTTATCTGAGCTATTATTCAAACGGGAACAATGAGTGATATAAAACAGCAACCTATCCCAGTCAGAGGCAAACAAACTACAATGAAAAAAGTTACCCAGATCGGAGCACGGAGGAACAAGTGCGTCTATCGTCAATCTCTTGATCTTATCAACCGATCTGATACTTGAGCCAATTAATGTGATTGTCCGGTGTATTATATAATAAGCGTTCTACACTATATCCCACCCCCACTCTCAAGCACACATCCCAGAAACACTCGCACACCCAGTGGCATGCACACCCGCATACACATCCGTCCATCACTCTACGTGTGCAGAGCAAAGCGGAATCGCATCCAATTTTTCGGCCTGTGTATGTTTTCTGATTGGTATCATAACTGATTGCACCGCAAATTGACGGCACGTGTGTCTGTTGATTGCGGTGGTCATGATAGTGATAGTGAATGTATTCCACTCTTTAATCGGGCTACAGTGAACACAGAAAAACATCAGACATTTATATTCGTAGAGAACAAAGTGGGCGATCAGTTACCCACTGGAGCTCCGACACAGTGAGAAAAACTGGAAAAGCTTCATTGGTAAATTATTCTAATATTGTGGAACAGAAAAACAGATTAGCACGTGCTATCACAAATTAACACTTACGTAAATATGAATAAAATAGGAAGAGGTTTAATTTAATGAATACAGTGATCTCTTCAAGAACATTAACTGAGGGTTGGACTATCGAAATAACAACAATGAAATCTGGTTAATTCGTTCAAAACGGGACAATAAATGAATCTATCCATGAAGAAATATATATTTCACAAGTCGCGGTCCATTATTGGTCACTGAAAGCGTTCTTTGATCACTTGAGTCCTACTGGTTTTCTGCAATCCTTTATCACCCTGACAATCTCTTGGCTGGAAATATGTGAGGTGAATGTGGAAGACTGAACAGAAATGTTTCCCATACGGATTTTTGTCCTCTTTATGGATCTCTATCCATCAATCCAAGTACACAGCAGTCTTCTTATCATCCTCAATTTCAACTTTGGATGCATTCTGTCTGCTCAGAATCGATTAAGATGTGTCACTTGTGACCACATGAAATCATGGTTCTCGATGAGCATATCATTGGTCGGTATTATTGTCCGATACGACTGAGCTCTTCGGTTCTAAACATTCGTTCTCCTTATTCGCCTGGCTATGCGTATACAAGTATTCCGTGGGATTGACCATTTAGTCACAAGAGTAGCGACTGTGCAATCTGTGCAGATTAATTAGTTACTATTTCAAGTGATGTGTACGTATGTGCAAAATATTCTTCCAACCAGAACGGTCACATTTATGTGATCTGACCGGGAATTCCAATCGGTTTACACGCATTATTGCTACGAAGCACAACATCGGTGCCCAACCTACATGCAATGAGGAGTCATGATTGAGCCACAGGACAGATTACAGTTTTGACATCTTTCATCTCGATATGTCAGCAAGGTCCTGAATTCACCGTTGATCAACATGCATGTCCAAAAAACACGGACACTGGTGGAACTCACAATAATGTTGATCAATGCGATTCAAGTATTCTTCAGTTGATCTTTCCATATAAAAAGACAGTTCTTCACCGTCCCTATTTTATGATCAATGTCGGCTTTTTGACGCTTTGACAAGAAGCGATATAGTCACTTCATTAGACTGAAACACACATTTGACAAAACAGCCACGATGGGACAAAAAGAAAGGCGGGAAACCGAGGTCTTTCAACGCCACTGTACATCCCGAAAACAACTGATCGGGTAATAATGAAAATCAAATTGGGAGTGCGAATATGCTATACAGCTTACATACTCGTGCGTTTACCATCATTGTTGAAGTTGTTGTTTTTGTCGTTGTCAGTTCGACACAGTCGAGTAAATTAGTAGTCCACCCACTCATGACGACCACATAGTAAACGAATCTGTCGTAGAGCAAATGAATTAAATCAGCCAAGTGTTGTATGCAATCAAATCAGAACATCTTGAAAATAGATTATGAATGAAAAATAAATGCTGGAATAAGGCACAAAAGTACAGATGTGATGAAGAGATGAAGACGTGTGAAAAAGATGGAAGCATTTAGTGAAATTCATTGAGTATGATGGGTGATGGTTCGCCAGTCAGACAAAGTGGTCATTTTTGGGGTAAATGCTTACGCGTTTACCGATCGTCTGTCCACAAGTATACAGGAAATCAAAATTTGTTTCCGTCGTTCTCGTTTACCGGTTTTCACGCACCGGTTTAAATTGAACAAACAACAAGAGCCCAATAAGCATACATAGTCCCGTGGGTAAAGGCATCATTTTTTGTTGCCTAGAGCAGTGTGTTTATTTTGAGTGAATAATTTGTAGAATTGCCACGATTAGTTGATTATCGTTCGTGTTTGAATTCAGTTCAAATCCTTGGGGAAAGAAGACAAAATAATGGCTTTGATTCAATACTTGATTTTCACTCTTCTCTTCCGGATGCTATTGAATCCTGCTAGCTCTACTCGAAGCCTGTATCTATCTTCAAATGACCGAACTTTTACGTAAAGTGGTCAGTTTTGACAAAACATTTGTGTTTATCCCAGCGAAATAATTTGATTGATTGGACAATTGATTAGGGGTTGCTGGTGCTGTTGTTGTTGTTGTTGACGATGTTGCTTTGCTTCACATTCTGTTCCGCATCGCCAGACACTCATGGTCAAAGTGCTCCTCATTATCTGAGGACCATGGGAAAAACACGAGGAGAACAACATCTATAGCATCAAAAAACAGGCGGACTGTGAAGAGCGTGCTGGTAGACATGATGAAGGTTTGAAAATTTCACGTACTCAAGCAACATTGTTCCAGTTGAACACACGCAAACGTGCAGGAAACTCATACAGGTGGTTGGTTGGTGATCGTGCCAATCCTACCTCAGGCTGCGAGGACGAGGGGGTGAAGAGGTGGTTGTTGATGGTAGGCAAGTCAGCTATAGGGAAGCTAAGCGGTTAACAAGCAGAAGTGGTCAAACGCGACGGGATAACCGGTTGTTTGTACCCGTATTGAACGACGCGGAGCATCATGTTCGAGAATTCATTACCGTCACAGGTGGAATATAGTAATCGCGATTTTTAACTGAACATTTCACGTGCGATGATGCAAAGACATTAAAAGCAAATGACTCAACGGACCGTTTCAAGCGGAAAATAGTATCTTTCTGAAGTTCAACTTGTTTACCGCAAAATATGAAATCAGTCAACTTTATTGCTACAGAACCAGTTTAAACCACCACTTTACCGAATTATTTTCAATGGCTGACTGGGAAAACGACTATATTATTTCCGTGATGCATAACACGCTGTATCTCACTCCTCCTCACCCGCCTGTCTCAGTCTGATGGCTCGATTGGTTTTCCCACGTTCTTCATATTGGTACTCGTCCTTTATATTGGGCAACATAAATCTGCATTGCCTCTATCGTGACTCATCAGAAAAATGCAGTTTTGAAGGATCACCAAATTTGAAATTCAAGAATTCAGGCTATCAGACTAAAACGTTTGCTCCCAAAGAATACAGTCTTTTGTAAGCATCACTAAATCAGTTTGGTCGAGTTTTGATTGTTTGCCCATATGAATTCAAAAATGGTGGATTTTTAATGTGTCCACTTTCCGTGAGTGTCACTTGTCGCATATTCCTTATTTTGTACAATTTTAACAATTATTCGCTCGAGTTGGAATATCATCTTTGCCTAAAAACGTGTGGCTGATATGGTAGAAGATTGTAGGAAGTGAGATCATCACTACAAGTAAGGTTTGTAAATCTCAAAGTTTCCGAAGGCGCGTGAACCAAAATAGAAACCTGGTAGTACTTTTCTGCTTGGGGGTTCCCAAATTGATTTTAACATTCAAACATTTTTGATATCCGCGGTGTACCTAAGAAGTTGGTGACAACTTTATTCTCAACAATTGTTCGCAAACGGTGCAATTTAATCTCTCTCTGTACTGAAACGCTCTAAGATCACCCGAACGCAAAGGGTGTTCACTGATCGGCTTTCGACCAACCGAAACGAAATCAAATACGGCATTCTCGAAACGGCGCTATTTCAGATTTGTAGGACTATGCTTGAGGTTTGTGGTGAAATTCCGCTTCAACTCTGTGTTTGTACTTACCTCTAGCTGCGCTCAACAATTCTATCTGCTTTGGCTTAATGCCCATGTCCAAGTCCCTGAGCAATAGGCAACGGTTCTCGTTACCGACAGATTGACTCTAACCACTTGGTTGTTCATCCCATTGATCTATGAAATATGCCATTTTTCGGTTTGATGGTACACGGATATGGTTACGCGGATAAAAGTGTCTTCATTTAAGCGGTTGAAATTTTTGTTTACTGACGGATTGGACGACGGAACTTCCCTAATGGAAAGGATTACCAAGGGTGATTTGGAACGTCCATGAGTTACTCAAACACACTAACTCTTTGGACTAAACGGTATTTGACAAATCTTCATTAGTATCAACGCAGTCATTATCATCATCATCAGCAGCAGCAGCAGCAGCAGCATCCTCCTTGTCCTCCTCCTCCGCATCATCATCATACGGCGAAATACAACGAAGCTTCATTGATCGCTACCAAACTGGGATTGCAGAAAAAAGTTATTGAGAATGTAAGGTGGACAGGGAGTGCTTCTATTTTGACGGCCAGGGGGCGAGAAAGTGCACTCATAGGGTAAAAACAGAAGACACAATCTGATTGTGTATACTCTGTGACGTGATAGGAAATGACAAGAAGAACACTAATGTAGTCTGTTCTCTGCCACCTCCTTCAGTAGCTCTCTGGGAAAACCGGTTGCAGGGTATTTTGGACCTCAGCCTAAAAGATGACACATTCACTCTACCTAATAGTGCTGTGTATTTATCTACGTCATTTTTTGACCTTGTGGTTTCCTCCAGCTTTTATCGACAATAGATAATCAGGCGCGGTTCGATAGACGACAGCTAGGTATGCGCAATAAGCACTCTAGTCAGCGAAGGCTACCATTTTGAATTCAAAATGGTAGCCTTCGCTGACTAGAGTGCTTATTGCGCATACCTAGCTGTCGTCTATCGAACCGCGCCTGATTNAATCAGGCGCGGTTCGATAGACGACAGCTAGGTATGCGCAATAAGCACTCTAGTCAGCGAAGGCTACCATTTTGAATTCAACACGCTAGAAAACTCATTCCCGAATATTAATCCCGTTCGTTCCATCCTACATGAGGCAAGCTACGTAAGCACCAGTAGTGTCAGACTTTAGTTGAAGATAGTTTCCACCCACGAATTCAAAGTCTTCTAACCATAAAGTAGAACTGAAAGTACTGCGGCACAATATAAAAGATCTTTCAACTTCAGTGAAACGTCGAGTTCACATCACAGGTGTTTTAGTCCTACCTACTCTGCTTGAGCCTTGGAAATGCGTGCGGGTATCTCATTTTTGCTGCACTGCTGTCATTACTGAGTAGGAAAAGCAACCTACTATAACTAATTCCTGGTCATTTAATTTCACAACTAGAGTCGGCGACATCCAGTCTTGCCACCCAAATTCGCACTTCGAACATGTAAAATGTCTTCAAATGGTATGGATGCACTTCTCAGTCTATCAAGTGCGCTTTTCGCGTCCATCATGCATGCATACGCACAGGCCGACTATGTCAGCAGCCTACGCTGGATGGCGCAGGTTTTCTTCGGCTCCCCATTCAATACTTAAATATTAGAGACCACTTAGTGCGTTTTTCTGTAGTTTGTCTACGATGAAATTGAATAGGAATGGTAAAATGGGGTGCCTTTGACGGACATCGCTGCTGTCTTCGTTGTAATTGCAAATACGTGCAATGACCTCGGTATATTGACAAGATTTGGGGCATTTATTTACCAAGAGGCCAACACATTGCAGTTTCACAGTCATCTGAGTCTACGAATAGTTTTAGGTAAATAACCAATACGATTGTCAAACGACAGTGCATGTAACGTAACACAAGTACCTGATGCAAAGTGCAAAACTAATCTATAAATCCACAACCACGCCAGAATACAGCTTGCTGTTTACGGATGCTTGTCTCCCGTAAAGGACTCAGGCGTCGAAGTTTGGTAGAGGCTAATGCTTTGGTCAAGATTGGTATCAAAACTATTCCGCGGTGATTTACACAGTCGTTGCAAGATTCTTTCGTTAAATGGGAAACATCATTTCACCACAGGAGGATGAAATGTGCTCTTGCTACCAACTGTGGTGCGGTAAGTCAATAACAGAACTTATGTAATGAGGAGGAAGCCCGTCAGGTACTGTTGCTTTTTCTCTCTTTAGAGCTTGAATGGATGATAGAACTTCTGAATCTGCTGCAGGATCGGATAACCCGTCCCACAGAGTTTCAGTTGCAGAAGAGGTTCTCAGGCTGAAGGGAGGCAAATGAACTGTTCACTGAAATACTCCACCTAGCGATAGAACCGTTATCCCCTATTGTGAACAGCTTCTACACTTTTATCAGAAACTGTTTCACTAACCGTGGTTTGCCGACCTTCCGTGATATGTATAAGCAGTCTTTGAGTATTCCCTGAAACATCGTTTGCTAAATTTAGATATGAGCTCATTTTTGCTAAACACAACAATGATCGTCATTCTTAATAACTAGAATTTGTCCCAAATAGGGTGAATTGACACCGTATCGTATTGTACACCCGAAAGTTAATTTACAGTTAGTGCGGGTACATGTTGAGTGAACTATTCTAGAAACGTCTGTTGTTTATTAGCAATAAAAGGGCAGACTTCTGTTAAACGGTGCACTATACTATCGGATTGCTGAACAAGAAATTAATATAAATAAATACTGATTTTAATTATCATCTTTTAATCAATAGGGTATAGTGTTGGAAAGGCAGGATCATTGGACTAACGAATTCCTATGTAAACTGGAGACGATGTGGTTCTAAGTTCGCCATCCAGATAGATCAGCGTGCATATGCAACTTTTCAAGAGACAACAAAAGTAACGCGACAGTGGATTAACTTTGATGCACCAATTTCGAAGAAAGCTGTGCATATTAAAAATACGGTTTATGTGAAAGGTTTTCCTGGTCGTGGATTTCGGTACAGTCTTTGATTCAGATTAATCTCATTCGATAAAGTTTTGCGTAAATTGTTGGGTAGAACTTAGTAGTTTAAGAGTGAAGGATACGTAAATTTACCTGCCTATTAGTGATAAAAGCGCATGAGAAGAAGTGAAAATTTCATTTGGGTCATTTGAATCAACGAGTCAAAGCCTGAACTGAAAAATAACTGGAAACATCCAATACAGCCCTATTACTTGCCGTTGTACGTAACTAAGCTGTACAACTCCCAGGGCCATGGTTCTGTTTCATATTTCACAGGATCACAGGATCGTGGTCTGTTGTCCGGAATTGTACCCCCAATCTGTCGGCTATCCTATTCTGTAAACAGAGGTATAGCATTCAGTGGCACTTTCATGTGGTCTTGAACGATGAATACAAACTTCTTTCTCTTTTGTAGTGGCTTCAATCGCTAAACAGCCCAAATGCTTCTATGAGTTGCTGCGTACACGATTAAGAGACAGTGTACCACGGTTGGAAAATCCTCTTTGCTTTACAGTGATTGATCCGTTTCCATGAAACGTTGGGACCTCTCAGAATTCATGAGACTTATTCGTTTGGAATATAATGGTGTTATCGCTCAATGTTGCTAGACCCTGCAACCTATTAAGTCGGATGAGACTGTAAACGTGTTTCTGCGGTTCGTAGCAGCAGAATAGTACCAGATCCACTACTCCTCGTGATGTGTTGTTCTTTAAAGCATAGCGTTTAAACCGACTCCAAATAGCTGCTATTCAATTGAAATACAACTAAATCGTGTCTAAAACGTTCAAATTTTGAATACAAAATCAGAGTGAAGATTATATCCGTAACTCGTTGGTTTTATTCGAATAAACGAAACAAAGATAAGATGACACATTCAAAGTTTCTAACCCGATTTCACTCAGATTAAATGGTTTAGTGTTTTTTCTGATTTATACGAACGTATTTGTGGAACACTGTGGGCTAGTCAAGGTTTCCATTGGCAAAACGCTATAAGTTAAGTTGTCTAATGTATTCGGTAGTGGATTCACATTTTTTTTTCAATCCACTGCATACGTTCAAGCCAAGCTGAAACTGTGAGAAGGTCGTACAAAACGAACATTGAACGCGTGTGTCTTCATTTCTGTTCATAGTAGCATTTATATTGTGAAAAACGATTTAATTTCAATAGCGGATTTTGCGCCTTCTCTCTCCCAATATGTACTAGTAATATTATCAGAATCGTAATTTCGATCTGGTCGGCGCTGTCTAACCACTCAACTCATTGGATAACTATAAGCTGTGACCACCAGATAGTAATGAGACAGTTCAGTAACAAATCATTATTCATTCAGTTTTTGTATGGCAAGCTATTATTCATGACAGTCAGGGATGGAAAACCAAAGAATTGATTAATGGGGTGGCGGTCTGGTGGTTTGAAAACATGATCTTTAAATCAATGTGAGGCGGAGTTACATCATTGCATGACCGCCACGCGTTTCATTTCATGAATATTTTATGAAGGAATATGTGTACTTTGAATGTTCTGTTGATGTTATCAGTGGTAGATGATTATGTAGACGTTTTAAACAAATAAAGTGAATTGCGTGGCAATCCCAGTTTATGCTTGTGAGTGCTTTTCATAGAAAACGGAGTTGTTCAATTGAATTTGAATTGAAATTTGCCTGTCGCATCGATCGAGTGACTAATTGACACATGATATACAGGTTTTACTGGAAATGCAATAAATTGAAGGGTTTTGGTCGTGTCTTTTCCGTTTGGTCCATTAGACTGCATCTACCATGTACACCCACGTTACCGGCGACGTCTAAGTGAACCCGTGTAACTGTAAGCTTTCTGAGTATTCAGTCACTGGCTTCCACGCACAGCGAAATAAATTCGTTGAGTTGGGAAAAGTAACTCAATATTGTTTCCCATTGCTATCGATTGTGCGGTATCGCGATGATAAAAATCGTGGATAATCAGTTATATAATAATACCATCGTCGCATGTACCATGTGGTGTGAGAAGTATTTGAGCATATTGACGAATTCAATAAATACTAGCCATCTTTGGTATATATATAATTGTCAATCTAATAGAGCGATTCAGAACAATTTTGTCTTTTCAAAAGTGTTTTGACTAGTCTCCTGGGGGAAATAAATAATATCACTAAGTTCTAGAATCCAATGTTAACGATGTGTTTCAGGGGTGAATTCGTCGCGTATATGGCAAATGAAGCGTGGATTCGATCCCCAGTTGGGCCGACGGATTCGCATTGATGATGAGACCAAATCAGGCCGAAAAAGATGTCCAGTGTGTCCTAGCATTTCAGTTCACACTTCATTTGCCATAAACACGACAAATTCACTTTAGGAATTGAAATAAATCCTCCATTACTCACATGAAACAGTTAAGGATATAATCAACAATCCTGTTCAGACGAGAGGCTCAAACACTTAGAGAATCCTGTTAGCATAATAACAAATATATTAAAAAGGCTTAATTCATTTTTTATTTATT